AAAAACCCCCCCCCCCCCCCCCAAACATTTCAATCAGAGCCCAAATTACCCAAAAGAATATTTGCATTAACGTTGCCTGATTAAGGAAAAATCAACTTCAGACATTATCATGGTCAAGCATTTTGACTAATTTCAGTTGTTAATTGCTCAAGAATCCTCCATTTCTGAAATGTAGCTTTCTGTCGGTGACAAGAAAAGGACCCGACATCTAATTTCTGTCCCAAAAAAATGTACCTTTGCTTTTCTAATCCAGGTAAAATCCATACAAGGCAAGACACACAATACTTTTACTACTACTACTACTTTCTCCTCAAGTCACTATCCTTTTTTCTTCTTTTTTTGAGTAAGTAAAGGCACTATCTCTTTTGACCTCAATGTTAGAAAGAACTTAAAAGGAGATAATTATATTGGTACTTGGTGGTGGATTTAACTTACATACATGAACAACGTAAATAATTTTACAATATCAGTGTATCTTAACGGGTTATAGCAGGTTAATTACTGCATTTTTTAGGTTAGCAAATTAGGATTAGTAAAGAAATTTACCTGTTGTTGTATCGTACAATGAGTGCACCGAATAACTGTTTGTGGCAATACTATCCAATCATGTCCTTTCATTTGGGCAAACGCCTCAAACCAACACACAGCAAATAAAAAACTGAGAACTCACAGATAAGAACAGCTATGCTCATAACAAAATTGAGGGCAATTACATACACTAATAACAAGAGCTATGCTACAAAACCTACCGTGAGTCCGTGACTGCTGAATTAACCCAAATGCAGAAGGGAAGTGAATGATATTTACATGTACTATCTCCAAAATAAGTGGCAGAAACAAAAGGGGTTGGAATTGACCTCCTAATACTCGTGGTGCGGCTACTGGTGCTCATCATCAGTTTCTTGCTTCCTCAAGAAAGACCGGTTGGTGTGCACACTACTTTCGTATCCACTGCTATCACCTGATTCAATTATACGCTTGTCCATTACCCTCTCTTTCACGCCATCACGATATAAGCGACCATGTTCCCTCGAAGCTCGTCGCTCCTGTATCAATTCAACAGCTATTCAGAGGAAGTGAAAATGAAATATCGACTAACAATATTGATTGGAAACTGATGCAATGATCCACGTACTAGTTAACACAGGCGCTATGCAAAAAAAAATTAACAAGTGTTGGTCCATAATGTACTAAAACAGACATCACATAAAACAGATTTAAAATAATGCCATGTGATTGGTACTAGAATACAGAAGGAGGTTCATTAATGTGATTGAATTGTGGTGTAACAAGCATAATTCTAGCACACAATAATGCCATGTCCTGCATTAAATGCTCGTTTAGAAAAGTAGATACCTGAGTCATGACTAGATCTTAGTAAGAGCACAATTACATCCAAATTGAGTTCTTATATTTAGTCCACTTCATTGAGTTACCAAAAGAGGCATTCTTAGCTATCGACTATCGTGACTCATGAAAACGTGACATTTAATTTAAGGGCGTGAAGGAAAACTACAGCTTACATCACGGAAGGGAAAATCATCAGCTTCAAGCATGTGTATCACATGTCCCATTTTTGGCCTCTTCTGAGCATTGGGGTCGACACAGCGTAATGCTACCAAAAGGACACGTTTCAGTGCTCTTGAAGAAGGCTTCTCCGCCAACTTGGGATCCAAAACACCCTCCGCATTCCGGTTTGAAACCATTATTTTAAGCCAATCAACCAGAGTTACCTATGAGTCAGATCCATTAAACAGAGTCAGAACAAAACTGGAACAAATATCAAAGAGGTTTTCTGAAACAAGAAACTAACATTAATGATATGAGACAAACCTCTCCAGGAGGACGGCTGTAATCCACCGGATTCCTTCCACTAATGATCTCCATAATAAGAATTCCAAAACTATACACATCACTTCTCTCATTCAACATGCCAGTGCTAGCATATTCCGGAGCAACGTAACTGATAAAAAAGGGGCCATTGGCAATTTATTTTCCATGAGTAACTTAACATTAGCAACAAAACAGTGTAGTTTGGAATGTCAAGCACTAACCCAAATGTTCCCATAACCCGAGTAGTAATGTAGCTCTTTTCAGCGCCCAAAAGCTTTGCCAAGCCAAAGTCTGACACCTTTGGATTCCATTGCTTATCGAGCAAAATATTGCTTGATTTAATGTCACGGTGAACAACCTTGGGTTCGAGGCCCTCATGCAGATAGGTTAACCTGTAAGCCTCACCAATCTTTAGGTACTCCTTTTAACACAATATAGAAAAATAATTAATGCTCAAGAACAAGTTAACAAATACATTAGCTGTAGTATACCCTTTAGCTGTTCCAAGAATGATATTCATTCTAATTTCCCATGTAAGAGGACTGCACGGCCCTACATCTCCATGGATCCACTGTTCTAAGTTCCCGTTGTCCACATACTCATACACAAGAATCCTAAGAACAGCAAATTGACATATTGAGTAATCTCCTCTCAAGCTCAAAACCGGAATCACCGGAGTTGATAGGTCCAACAAACCGTAAAGAAAAACCACCACATAATGCTATAACCGACTGAATTAAGCTGCAGACAACTAAAATTGAAATTACCTGTGAGCTCCCTCAGCACAGTAACCGAGTAACCTCACCAAATTCTTATGCCGAACTCGACCAATTGCTTCAACCTCAACCTTAAACTCCCTCTCTGCTTGTCCCCTGAAAAGAAAACCACACATGGAAACTTAAAGACAGACAAAAGGAACAGCTTTCTCCACAAACTAATACTGCAGTTTAAGTTCTAAACATTATCGGTATAAAAGATATTACACAATCTCACTTATTAAGTAATTACATGTAAACCTCCTGATAAATTGGTAATTTGACAAAAATGGTACCTAACCATCTATTCCAAAAAAAACTAAGATCTCATTGTGCGCGGATCCGGACCACAAGGTTCTATTCCAGGTAGTGTAAAAAAGTTTTACATTGTCGGTATATATAACTTAAATACTTCTGTATTTACCCATAAAACTACAGCTATTATTTTAGTAATTAAGACCCATAAACCCTAAAGATACTTCATTTCACACATTTATGCCACATTACAATGATAGAGCATACATTTAACATAAATGACATGCAACTACACATGCAAGGCCAAGAATTATGAACATATTTGGACAATATGCAACGAAAAGGAAAGAACTTTGAAAATTGCACCTGTTATTGAGCAAATTCTTAACAGCAACATTACTGCTATCTTCCATAACTCCACGGTAAACAATTCCATAACCACCTTCACCAATCACATTTTCATCAGCAAAGAAATTAGTTGCAATCTCAAGCTCTCTCAGTGTATACCAATGGCCCCACCCCAAATGTGAAACCTCAGGCACAGCAATAATAGCCTGCTCAACAGAACATACTTCTCCACTACCATGACTTGACCCGCCACCTAACCCGACCCGATCCGGATAGGCAATCTTATGACCCTTTCCGACTTCAATATGGATTCTCTGATGACCACTTGAATTCTGGGTGTCTTCCTCGGGTTCGGGTAATGGGTCCGGAACCGGAGGTGGGAGTAATTTCGGGTTTTCGGGTAGAGTCCGTGATGGGTCAATTCGGATTTCTTGAATTTCTTTGGATACCTTAGGAATATTGGGGTTGTTGTTTTTGTTTTTCTTAGCTGAAACTGAAAGAGTTGTTTTTTTATTGTTACGTTTTGTAGTGAACCAGAGAGAGATAAGGAAGAGAACTAACACAATTGCAGCTCCAACGCAAATACCCAAAACGACCCATAAACGTAGACCAAAAATTGAGGTTCTTTTTGAGAGTTCATCGCTCAGAAACCCAGACATCTTTTTTTTTTGTTTCCCTCCTACTGAGGAGAATTTGGTTAACTGATACTATTAGAAGACATTAACAAAGAAGAGACCGTTGTAGGAGAAAGACAAAGAAGCATATTAGTAGTAATAATAGTATATGGTGGTGAAATAATGCATGTGGCACTAAGGTGGGGACTATGGATTCTAGTCTAGTCTAGTGTTTAATAGTAGTAGTAAAGATAACTGTGGCTTGTTAGAGAGGGAGATCATATTTGGAGCTAAGTTGAGAGGTATTTCTTTGGGAGTTGGGACCATTGGAGAGTGGGGTGGGGAGGGGGAGCTGTAATGATGGGACTTGTAAAAATGGAGAAATTGCCCCACTCGTGTTTGATTATTTTACTTTATTGTGACATTCGTAAGAAACGTGTACCTATATGTGTATGAAAATATTTATGGACGTAACCATATAGTCTAGTTGGTGGCATTTGTTTATTGAAGGGTGTGATGATCTTTATTATCAATTTTACAGCCCATTACAAATATTTTGGTTACCCTTTACACAGAAAATCAAATAGAAGATCGGTAAATTTGTAGAATTATTTTTTTTACTAAAATTATAACGAATCATATGAGATCATTTCCTCTGGTATTGATTTAATTTATGTTTCTATGTTTTTTTTTGTTGGATTGTTTGGTTAGATAAGGGTCATCAAAAATTTTGCTTAAAGAATGTTGGTGGATTACTTTAGCTCCATTTTAATTGAGCTTGATACCAATGCATCCCTACACCCTTTTTCTCCGTTTATTTTTTTCTTCCTTTTGATAATAATTGTGTCACTCTTAGTTTCTTTTTTGTTAATTAAGACTTAAGAAATGATTAAAGAAGAATGTCGTGGAGTTGGTGATCTAGTTAGTTCACCGTATGCTTCTCCTTTTCTGATATTTGGAGTTCCTCCTTATTTTCATTATTGTTAGCGGACCTTTATTAACTTTATTCTTGTTTTTTTTTAACAGTACTTAGAAGATGCTACATCCACTGCTTATATTGGGAAAAAATTTGAATCTTGTAGCGGATCCATTAGGAGATAGTTTCAAAAAGGGACATAGACCTTACTATAAAAGAGTTTATACCTCGTTTCAGTCCTTACAATTGCATGTAGTCTGTAAACAGTAATACATTGACACTAATAATGACATGTCCGTCACAGTGAAACTTTCACTGTGAAAGTGGTAACCTCACTGTAAGTATAACTCATTCGACTCCATCTGCTGAGTGGGACCACAAAGGCAATTCATAATTACATTATAAAGAAAATAAACCAGAATATCTGTACTGCACTGTAATTTGCGGAGTTACATTTTTAGATTCAACTAAAATTTGTCCGGATTTGCATACTTAAAAAAACTTTGAATAACAAGCACCCTGCATTTGATATTCTGAAATTGCAAAGAAATAGCACGCTTTGAAAACAGTAGTATATTTTCATTTTCAAGTATGATAGTGGAAGAACTTGAAACGTCCAACACTACAAGCATCTAAAAAGCTTGAAAGGTTATTTTGTCAACACTAGTTATCTTGTCAAATTCAAGTTTCAGCAGTTACAAAAGCACAGTACCGTTTATGCTCATTGAGCATAACAATTAAGGATATCTCAGCGACCATTAGGCTAATATTTTAACTTATGATATGTAAAAACAATTGGAGTTTCGCAGTATCACCAGTTAATTCCATCTACACCAACTCCTCGAGTACTTCATCTTTATAGATTTTGGTTAAGAAGACACCCCTGAAGAGGAATTGTTTCCGGAGCAACTCATATCCAAATGCAATCTTGATAGTGTATCGCCTCGGCATATGTCCTGAATATAAATAAAAAAATTGCTTTAGCTTCTAACTTACAGGATCTGAATGAAATACCACAGGCAGCTTACCTTAGAAGATGCTAAATGGTTAAGAAGTCCATAATGATTCTGAATCGTAGTTTCAAAAGCTAGTGAGTTTTCTGCATTATTTGAGGTTACTGATGGTTTGCCTGACAGATTTTGATTGGAAATTTCAAATGCAGTCTGCGGCATTTCTCGATTCCCAGGAAGTGTGGCTCCTCCATTTGCACTCAGCATAAAACTTCTCCCATCAAATTCGTTACCAGATGGAAGTTGCATTGACTGCAAAGACCCAGGGACATATCCCGGGTATAAACTCAATCCATTCCTCAAGGTAAGCATCTGAAAAGCCAAAGAGAGGAGGAGACAAACAAAGGTTCTATTATGCAGTTTTTAAAGAGATATAATGACAGATATGATATAGTAGTAGTGACTTCATTGTAATCAGCATACGGTTAGACCTCGGAAATCACTTGATGATACTAGTCATAACTTCTGACTTCATTGTCATCACCATCAAATATCAGCGGTCCCAAAAAGAAAGTTTAAACATTTGATCTTTGAGATCGATGGCACAGTGAGGAGTATTCTTTTTGAATTTTAAAGAACTGCTGTACTTCTTATGTACTACTTTTTATTTGCTAGATTAAATCTTGGTATGTTGTTGACCACATATAAGTTATATCAGTGAACTATTTTCCTTTACTCAGCAAGCTATATGGAAGTACAAGTAATTAAAAGATCTTTTGCACCTCTCAATTTCTAGAGCCACAATATATGCAAACACCTCATGTTCATCACAAGTGCCCCTGTCTACTAACCAGTGAAAAACGTCAAAGGATTTGATAATTATAGCAAAAGATTACCATTTTCACAAATCAATCATAATAGGAAGAGCTAACTCTTCAAATTAGCACGAGTACGCCAGGAAACTTGCATCCATTCATATTTCAGGAGGTTTCGTAACTGAAATCATCTATTCAGCAAAAGGTTTAGTAATTCATATTATAAGGGGGAAACTGAAAGAAACCGCAATATGGATAAGACAACAAGATAATTTCACTAATTGTCTAGATTTCAAGTATGGAGCATATCACACTGCCCAACCACATCATCTTCTCCATTTTTACCCTATGTTATATCTTACTTCCACTGGTGAATGTTCTACATATGGAAGCCATCAATGGAACAAGAAATATGCACCTTGAAGCCCTCACGGCCTCACCATTTATTTCTTTCTTCTTGAGTTTTTCCTACCCTAGGATGAAAATGTTGAAGCGAAACAATGCTTATTGCAAGATAGAGAACTGACAAATAGCATGAGCTTCACTAAAAAGCAATTAAATATGGATCCATTCTAGCTAAAAGAGTAACAAGAAACTAGTGAACTTAGAGGTGAAACGTCAACACACCTGTCGAACTATATACAAAACAATTCTTAAATATAAGATAGGTTTTTCTTCATTTTCACTTCTCAATTTAATCCCTTTTCCTTTAAGGGGAGCCTTGGCGTAACTGGTAAAGTTGCTGCCATATGACCAGGAGGTCACGGGTTCAAGCCGTGGAAACAGCCTCTTGCAAAAATGCAGGGTAAGGCTACAATAGACCTTTGTGGTCCGGCCCTTCCCCGCACCCTGCGCATAGCGAGAGCTTAATGCACCGGGCTGCCCTTTTTTAATTCAATCCCTTTTCCTCTAACCTACTTTAAGCCATGATACTCCCAATAGTAAGAAACATAATGAAAGGTCATCCAGACAATATACTTTCTCTTAACTTGTCCCACTAATTTTCCGTAATGTACTGGCAATGAGTCGAACTCCTACACCAACATCTCTGTGTGTTACGAATTCAGAATCAAATTGTTGGGAACTGGGATCAGTAAACATAGCTTGTACAGCTTCTATAGCACTTGGTCCCATGTTCTTTCTTCTTCTTCTTTTTTTTCCTTTTTCCTGTTTTGATTTGATTTTTCAAAGCTCCACTGCCCCTGTGTCTTTCATCTAACCAGGCCGAGAGAGGAGACAACGATACTAGCAAGAGCAAAGTCGTGACTTTGTGGAAAACTTTCAACGATACAAGACTAATCACACCTAAGAAACAAAATCTTCCAAAAGGGGATAGAATACAAAAGTATTACTTATGCCTTTTGCTTTTGATTCATGTATAAGACTGCTTTAAATAAATATAAGTGTTCATTGGAGGGGATTTCAATGGCCATATTGGGGCTAATGCTAGGAGTTGATGATGTACATGGAGGGTTCGGTTTTAGGGATAGGAATTAGGGAGGTACCTCACTTTTGGATTTCGCTAGAGCTTTAGATCTGGTGAGAACTAACTCGAGTTTTCCGAAAAGAGAGGAGCACCTGGTCATCTCTTTTGAAGTTCGGTGGCCAAGATTCAGATTGATTACCTTCTCTGCAGGAAATGTGATAAAGGTCTATGCACTGATTGCAAGGTCATCCCTAGTGAGTACCTCACAACCCAACATAGGCTCCTAGTAATGGACCTGGAGATCAAGAGGAGTAGGAGGAAGAGGGCGGTGTGCAAGCAACCAAAGATCAAGTGGGGTAACTTGACTAAGGACAAAACTCAAGAGTTGGGGAGAGGTTGCTGGCTATGAGGGCCCGGAGGAGTAGAGGAACGTGACTAGGATATGCACCACGGCATCGAATTGCATTAGGGAAGCGGCTAGAGAAGTCTTAGGGGACACAACGGGCTTATTCTGAGGGTCACAAAGGGGACTAGTGGTGGAATGTAGAGGTTCAAGGAAAAGTGGAAGCCAAAAAATGGCTTATTTGAAGCTAGTGGAGAGTACAGACGAGGAGAAAAAAGGACATATCAGGAGTGTTATAAGAAGGCAAAAAAAGAGGCGAAGTTAGCAGTTACAGCGGCTAAGACTGCGGCGTTTGGACGTCTGTACGAGGAACTCAAAAGCTGGTACAAGATGCTATACCGGTTGGCCAAAGTAAGGGAGATGCAGGGTTGTGAAAAGCGGTCGCTTCCTCGCTTAAAGCGAGAAGCGAAGTGAAGCGACCCTTTAACCGCTTCTGCTATATGAAGCGACTCAGGTAGACAAAAGCATGTGCTTCCCGCTAAAAAGCGAGAAGCGACGAAGCGAAGCAACCAAAGCGAGCGCTTCTCTGTTTTAAACAGCTGCCAGCCTATTTAATTAAAAAAGAAAGGTGTTCAGTGTTCTTTTATTAAAACACGACCAGCAGCAACAGAGATTCTAAAGAGGCGACTAGGGTTCCCTTTTCAACTTCAATAGAGATTCAGCACCAACAGGTATGTGATGATTTCTTCCTCTTCCTCCTCCTCCTTCTTCTTCTTCTTCTTCTTCAGCGTCCAAATAGCAGCGAAATGCTGGCGAATTTTTTTTTTACCTTCGGTTCTTCTTTCTCAGTCTTCTCCTCTTCGTTGAAATGCTGCCCAGTTCTTCTTTCA